CAAGAGAGTGAATGCATAGTCTCTTCCCCTTCCTCTCTCCTTCTGCCCCACCCTCTTCTTTCCCCTTTTCTTCCTCTGACTCTCTGATAAAGTGAAACAAAGCTTAAATTTAAAAACATAATTCAGTTTAATACAACCACCCTCAAAGCAAGAGTGCACCCTGCAGAGTTTCTTGAATATGAAACAGAGAGGTAGGAGGAAGGGAGAAAAGCACCTTCCACCGAGTTCATACAGAAACTAGCTTAGTTAGAATCTTCATTACCATGGTAAAAAAACAGTCAAGTCACCTTAAACTGTGCAGACTGGCCTTGGGTGCTGCTCCTTACAGATGCCTTATTCTTGCTTCTACATCCCGCGGAGGCTCAAGTACAGGTACCTCCAGCTCTCAAGGGGGTTCAGGGCATCCTCCCTATACCCAGGAGACTTGAGACTCATTTTCAGAACATTTCCCCATCTCCCACATTGCATCTACATGAGAGGAGAAGGAAGACAGCTTATACCAGCATGTCCTAGGCTGCTTCATACACACACCATAGTCAGAGTGAGAGCAAACTTTCCCATAAGTTAGACCTTATGTTCCTAAAGGTTTCAGATGTAAAATCAGCATGGCATCCTACGTACTGAATTAGCAGAATGTGCTCAAAAACCTGCTTTGTGAACTAGCAGGTGTGAGGCTCAGTAGGCTAGTACAATGGTGAAGAGACACCAGCTGTGGCAGGAGGAATTCCCACATGGATCCTAAGAGTCTGACTTATACATACATACCCCATGGAATCTCTTCCCTGGAATATCAGCAAACACATGAATATGCAGATGAGGCAGAGGTTAAGGATATAATTAAGATGAGCACTGAGCTGGTCTTGCGTTCATCGGAAAGGAGATTATCTTGAATGGTCCAGACTTAGAGGAACTTCTTCTAGAGACTCTCTTGCTGATCTTAAAGAAGTAACTGTTCTCTTATGAGACCATGCATTGGAGAGGCTGTGGGGAAGTAATGCAGGGCAGGCTCTACCTGTTAAGAGGAGTGCCTGGCTGACAGATGGCAAGAAAAACAGGACCTCATTTATAAAGTTACAAGTCTGCCAACCACTGTTTTAGGCTGAAAGGGGACTTCAGGCCTCAGATGAGACCACAGGTCCAGCTGACAACTTGTTTATGTCTTTGTGGGCCTCCCAGAAGAGGACTCAGCCGATCCACGCTTAGACAGACACCACAACTACAAAGGGGAGGTGATAAACTTCTATGTTGTGATGATTATTACACAGAAATAGAACACTAACATAGGACACTTGGTTCCTAAGCAGAGATAACAGAAATACAAGAGTCTATATTAAGAACAGGTTAAAAAAAAAAAAAAAGCAAAACCAAAGAGCACAAATCTTTGTGAACTTCAGGAAGCAGAGTGCCAGGCTGTTTCCCTCACACAAACTTTACCAACAGGCTCACACATAATAAAGTGCACTACTTTTTATTGGCCTCCAAGTGACATTCTCCAAAGCAGCAAGGCTTCAGAGGAGCTATGCTGGCTTCTGTCCTACCTTACTGTGCCCTTGCCCAGCATTAGGTGCACTGTGTTTCTTCCTGCACTTCCAACATGAAAAAAATAAAATAATAATAACAACAATAAAACCCACATTGAAAACTGCCTCCACAAAGAAAGCATTTCAACATTAATAAATTTCTTTAGATCTTTTGATCAGGCTTTATAAGACTACATAAATATATACAAATATTAATGAGTTTCACCTTTGTTTTGAAGATGTTAGGCACCACCTCCTTGATGGGGTACATCAGGTTACAATTTGTCTTAGTAACCACAAAGAGAAAGAAGCATTCTGTCCAAATTTAGATAAGGCTGGAAAATGTAGGCTAATGCACCATAAATGCTTGAAATGGACATGTCTTTATATCTTCCAAAAAAGAAAAATAACCTTTCATCAAATGGTACTTAGTGACAAATATTCATACTTAAAATACTAGGGATTTTTTCTAAATATGTCCTTAAATGTTTTGTTGTTATATTTTCTCTTTAACATTTTGATAATATTAACATACTTAAAGCCAATATTGATTCAGAAAAGTTATAATGTACTAAACACAATTAATAAAAGTAGCTATGTAAGCATGAGCTATATATTAGGTATGATGACAGTTATATGTGCCTGTGTGATTTAAGTTAGAAGTGTTAGTCCATGTAATGAATCAAATAATTTATTATAATTTTTTCCTCCATAAATGGAGCATATGGATCCAACAACTGAAGGATTCTTGGTTTCTCTGTCTCATTATACTCTAGTTAAACAAACTAGATGTTTTAACATGTATACTTTAGTTATAATTTTATATAAGCAATATTTATTTTCCAGTAATGTTTATAAATTACATACTTGAAAATGAAAGGAAAGAAAATTTGATTGTCAAATCAGCAGAACATCATTGAGTAACACAACTAATTTCTTTTCTGTTGCCCTGTCATACTATAAATTGTAGGACTATGCTGTAGATTTCTGGATGGGAATAATTTTTTTCCGCTGGAGAGACTTGTAGATGATGCCCTGAGTTCTTATAACATTTTAAATTCAATAGTAAATCAGGAAGGGTAATAAAAATCTGTGCATTCTTTAGGTTAGAAGGGGAAATTTTGCCAGGATGTTTTTTCTCTTTATTTTTATTAAAATAAGACTACTAAAACATACATGAGAATAGCTATAAAACATACTCCAGAAATGAAGTAGAAATGAACAGTCAACTCAGTATACACAGAATAAAGTAGCAATATGAATAATTCAGCAGTTTTTAATTGCAAAGGTGACACTTTTGATGCTTTAAAACTTGCATATAGCCTTGTCTTTCAAAAAATGACTTTAACGCATGGGTCAAGAGAAAGGAGAATGTTCACAGGAAAAAGTTTCAAGGCTAGCACTATTTAATAAAATTGTGTCAACAAGAAAACATGTCATAATAAGATAAACTAACCCTTTAGCTGGAAAAGTGATAGTCTCACAATTCTAAATTTAGTAAATTCTGTGACTGAGAATTTACTTAAATTTCAGATTATTCAAGTGATCCTGCAATAAAAAAAAAAGATTAAGTGAAAAAATAACAATCTTTTTTGTAATGGAGTTTCTTGAGAGAAAAGGTATCCATTAAATTCCGTACACAAAATCTTTCCACTGCCAATCTTCATGTTTCTCACTAGTTGGCAATACTGTGATTTCATGCACCCTGGATCTCTCCAAGAATCCTCAAGATTCTGGGAGCACAGAGCAGGCATGGTCACCAAATAGTTTTAGATAATTTTTTTTAATTGTGCTAAATGTTGACATATGATGAGCTTCTCAAATAAGGATTTAAATTTTTCTACACACACACACACACACACACACACACACACACACACACACACACATCTATCTCTCCACATGTGCACTCCTGCTCATCATGAGAGTCAGAAAGAGGCCACATCCTCACACTATGGCCTTTTTGATTAGCAAATGAAATCCAAATGTGTCTCTGCAGTGGTTCCCAGGATTCTGCTGGGATGATTTAGTATGCACCACACTCTATTCAACCTTCAAAACATGCATGCAGGACCCATGTTTAGAGCACCTTGGTTTGGAATATTCAACTTTAAGAACTGCCATCTGCTCAGAACTGCTCTTCAGGGATCCTGGTTAGAGCAGCTAGAGACAATAGTGCCGATTTTTGCTGGTGGTGGCATTGGCCAAGGACTTGAACTTGACCTCAAATAATTTCTCTTATTGTCACCTAATAAAACACAAATCTCTAGTAGCAGTATCTGATTCATACAAACTTCCTAACACCAAGTAATATGAAAAGGGAAAAAGTGGGTAACTCTAAAGGTTATTTTAAAAGAACAGCTGCAAAAAAAAAAAAAAAAAAAAAAAAAGAGCAAAGAGTCACATTAGCCTTGATTAGGTTGGATTTCAAAAATAAAAGCCAAACAAATTTTAAAAAGTATTTCACCCTTCTGTCATACAAAACTTGCTCAAGTCTTCCAAAAGGTTGAAATCTTGTGTCCCACCCTAGAAGGGTTCGAGAATCCAGAGTGCCCATGTGGAAGTGGAAGTAAATGTTAAATTCCATACAGGCTTCAGGAGATGAGTCTTGTATAACAGACGGGAAAGGGGACAAGAGCTCACAGAAGCTGCCTACAATGAGGACATGGATATTCTGGTGGAACCTACTGACAGCATTTGTTAGGGACAGAGCTAAAAACCAACTGCAAGATCCCCAGGCTCCAGCAGAAGGAGCCTAAAGGAGCGAGGATCTGACCGTGGTCCTGAAAGATCACAGGCTATTTCCAGAAAGACACAAAACACCATATTTGCATGAACATTTTTTCCAGTCCAACCAAAGAAGTCAGATATTCAATACTATTTATCTTCACAAAACTCTGAAACTTCCCCTGTGGTGGAGTCAGTCTTCACAACGCCCAAGTCCTTCTTCCTCAATAGTCTTTCCTCGAGTGTCGTGTTAATTTCAGCGTTAAGAGGCGAGATTCTGACAAACTCCCAGTAATCAGAAAGTCTCCGGACAGCTCACACCTAACCAGGCTGATTACTCAGGATTTCTTAAACTCGAATGGGAAGTCAGAGGAGTCTGGAAAGCCTCCAAACTCTAACCCTGGCAGCCTCGGAACTCCAGAAAAAAATAAAGTGCACAGCATCCCCCCCTGCACCAAGCTCCTCAAGGCACCACACAGTACAGGTCCCACCGCGAACCCCTTGTCCATCATTCTTTAGATTTGTGTTCCAAACCTAGGCAATCAAGGGAATCATCTATAAGAATACCAAATGCTTTTATGATTTTTTTTTTTGGGGGGGGGTCTTGTTTTATTTTGTTTCCTTTCCTCCCCTGGCTACTCTGGCAAGAAAAGAAGGCAAAGAATTGTGCGCATGAAATCAGAGAAGCCGGAGCAAAACTCCAAGAGAAAAACCATCCTAGGGAAATTGGCAACTCGGGCAAGCCCTACTTACGTGTTCCGTCGAAACGGGTGGCGATGGTGTCCAGGAAGGTGTTCTGAGGAGCCAGTAATCCTTTCATAACCGGCATTTTTCCAGCTCGGTGTGAAATTCCCCATCAAAGTTTGTCCAGAAGGATGGCTCTGCAGGAAAGTACCAAGCTGGGAGAAGCCACCGGGAGCGTGATGACGGCAGGGGCGGGGGGCCAGGCGTGCAGAGGATGGGGCCAGGCAAGGAAGTGGGGTGGATGGCAACAGAAGGAGGTACTCCCCGGCCGCTGAGCCGTGGCCAGAGAAGCCCGCGATCAGCACTCTGAACCCGCCTCCTTCCAGGCTCCGTCCCTTCCTCCTTCTTCAGCGACACCCCCAGACACCCCTAGGGTCTCTCAGTAGACCCTGCGAAAGCCCACGGTGGCCCTGGGCGCCGCGCCCTGACCTGAGTTCTAGGGTCTCGGAGGACGGCGCCCTACCTGGGAAAACCGTGGCGCTAAGCCTCGAGTACCCCAGGGACGCTGAGAAAAGGAAAAACGCTAGCCAGCCCAACTCCCGCCCCCCTGGAGCCGGGAACAAAGACCCCTTTGTTCCCGCTCGGTCCCTCTCCCTGGAGACCAGAGTCCCGTGGGTGTGGTGTCCTGGAGGGAGGAGATAGGTCACCGCAGGTAACCCGCCTCCGCCTAGAACTTGGGAGGGGGAGGCCCCCATGGTGGTGTCCTAGGTAGCAAAGACAGCCTGAGGCTTTGGAGGGATGTGTCCCCCTTCCGGTACACCTGCCATCCCCAGGTCCAAGTCAGCTGGCTGCCTACCACCACCACCCCTCGATCACCAGGGTCTCCCTAGCACTGGAAAACCGACCCAAGCTTGAGGTTTTGCGACCTCTCCTTCCTCAGCTCTAAAAGAGAATTCAGGTACCCTCCCTTGGCCAAATTCTCCGTGCTCTCCCCAACCCACACAAACTAAAAGGAGAAAAAAAAAATATCCGCTTAAATCCGCAATAGTTTTCCACTCTTCTGTGAAATATGCTTAGAGTGGTTCTCGAAAAGTTTGCTGTTTTTATTGATTTACAAAATACATGGAAGTAACAGAGTTGAGTTTTCAGTGTAAAAGCAGCTTCAATACGACCCCCCCCCCACCCGCACCCCCAGCGTATCGGCTCTAAGCTCCACCTCCACCCAACCCCCCGCCACTGGCCTAGTGCCAGGAACTGCAGGTGTCTCAGAAAACTAAAGCGGTCTCTGCCGCTTTCCCCCGGCTCACGAGGGGACTCCCTCTTTTCCTACATTATGCTAAGGAAAGCCACCCAAATCTGGGGTGCATCCCTGTGAGAGGGCAAAGACACATGCGAGCCCAGGCTCCACTGAAACCCTGACAAAGAGGAAAGGGAAAGTTACGAGCCCAGGAGATAAGAACAAACAGAAGCCCAGGTGCTACTGCACCCGGAAAGGAAGGAGGGAAACGCGAACAGGTGTCTGAGGCACTGCAGGGACCTCTGGGTCCCCGCCTCCAGGATTCATTCGGGCGTGGCAGCAGGTGTAAGCGGCCCCCAAACATCTGGCAAGGGCTCTTTGCTAGAATCCCCGGGGATTCTGGGGGTGATGAAGGACTCTAGGGGTTTCCTCGCTGTGGTCCTGGGTTCCGTGAGGGCGGGGTGAAGAGAGAAAGGAGGCGGCTCCTTGTTCCCGCCCCTAGTTCTGTTCTTCGTGATGCATTTCCTGCCACCGAGGATTCCCTTTGTGTTGAGATTCCAGATCCGCCCGCCACACGCGGGGGTGGGCGGGCCCGGGATTCCCGGTGGGTGGCCACCTCGTGAGGCTCTGGCTGCGTGTCCTTTTTCCTGCGGGTTACCGCTGCTGGCCAGCGGTGCACCCTCACTCTCCCTACCCCCTCCACCCTAGCAAATGCTTCTGTCAGGAGCTCGTTGTTCCTTGTAGGGAAACCCCCTACGTGCCCCCACACACACACACACACACGCACGCGCACAGCTGAGCTCCGCTGGCTCCCTCTTGGGCGTAGCCAGGAGAGATGGGGGAGTCCCTGCTTCTGCTTCAGTGGTGCCTGGCGCCCAAGAAAACCCGGGCTGCCTCTGCCCGTGGGAAGTGGTTTGACGCTCAGCATGAAAAAAAAACCCAAAAACTCTTTGATCTGGCCTCACTTGCTAGAAAAGAAGCCATACAGCAGCTTAATAATGGAAACCCAAAAGGCAGTTTAGATTCCTTGGCAAAAGAAGTCAACCTTGTACCGTTTAATATTTTAATCTTTTCTCCAATGCCCAGAACAAGTCAAGGCTAGTGCTAGGCACAACATCCTTGTCCTAAATTCACCTTGGATCCCCGTCCCCCCGACCCCACCCCTACCCCCAACCTATGCTTGGTCAGTGGACCACAAAGCCTCTTCTTTCGTTTTTTCTGACTGGATGTCTTTCATAAGAAGATATCATTCATTACTTTGGTCTTGAGTTCCAGGATCTCTAAGCTCTGCTCAAAGACGCATTGCTATTCCTAAGTGGTTGTAGCACCAGAGACCAAAGTACACTATTAGAGCATGACCACCTTGGGAGTTGAAGCGCTCTGAACCCTCTTAACTGTATTTTGTCATCTTCAAATCCAAAACAGAAATGCATTCTGAGAGGCAGGTGTTTTCTTTGTCACCTGTCCTAAACCTCATCTTTTCCTTAAAGGAAAATTTCCCACTGATGGACTAAAAGAACACCAATTCATTTTATTGCAAATCCTTCTCCACAATGGAGAAGGATCTCTGTGGCCTAAACAATGCAATAGCATAACCCTATAACACAACCTAAAGCCCTTTTGGAGAGGCCATATTTATAAAGGGATCATATTTTGGACTCTACAATGTAAGACAAGGCACAAAATCCCTATAGCGTTAGATATGTTAAACTGGAAGGCTCTAGGTAAAACTGACACAGGTAAAGCTCACTGATTGACTTGCAGAACAGTACCACAGAATGTCGCCGAATTCAAACACAAATCATATTTGCAGTATCTTGCAAGCTGAGCTTTGACCACCAAGATGCCTGCAGAGATACAGCTTTTGTTATTCATTATCAAGACTCTGTAGGCTTCTTCTCAATGACACAGCTGTGTGGGTCCTTTCACTGGTTCACTGAGGTAGACTTGAGTAAAATGGTTTCTTTGGTCTGTTGTATGTCTCCCCAAGAAAAGTCATACAGTACTCCCTTTTCAATGATATTTCATCTGGGGGCCCTAGCCCGTGTGATGATGTAAGGTGATATTTTATTTGTACTGAAATGTGATTTTATTTGTATGTTAATAAATAAAGTTGCCTGGGAGTCAGAGCTAATAGCAAGCCATAGCAGAAGCTGGGCAATGGTGACACACACCTTTAATCCAGATCACATGACAGACAGATCTCTGTGTTTTCAAGGATACAGCCAGTATGCAGACACATGCTATTAATCTCAGTACCAACCATAGAAGACCTGGAGGTCTGTACAGACAGGCAGTGACGAGGAGGTCATGTGGTTGGGTTTACAACCAATGAGAAGGCAGAACAGAAAGTCAATAAAAAGACAGATACACGGGAAGTAGGTCTCTTTCTGAGGGGAAGGACGATAGCTGCAGCAAAGGGTAAGAAAGGGTTTTAGTCTCAGCTCTTAGCTACTGCTCTGACCTTTTGGGCTTTTAACTCTGCATTTGGCTCTGTGTTTCTTATTTAATAAGACAGTTCATCTACAACAATGCCATTGACATTTGTGGGGGCAGGCATCCCTTCTCCGTTAATGTTCTGGTAATACCCTCAGAGGCAAGCCAAATCCAGCCAAGTTGAAAATAAAGATTGACCTCCACATATTCCTAATACAAAGTTATTCAAATACAGTAAATATTACTGACTCTTGTGTTGAGTGGCTGTCCACTTTAAAAAAGTGAATTTGGAGTCAATCAGCTTATCATTTCCAATGGCTTATTTCAAAAAGTTATAAACAATAATTGACTTGCATAAAGGTGCATGACACGGACAGTGAATAACTCTCCTACCGAATTCAAATTCTGAAAAATGTATAGTAACTATGTGTCATTCTATATTGAAAATAAATTTTAGACCACTCATGCGCAACAAGAAAGAGAGTTAAAGATCCACTACAGATGTCTAACATGGTCACAGAAAATCCTTGGGTTTTAGGTCACTGTCCAAGACATGACTTCCATCACTTGGCAGCCAGTTCCTAAAAGCCACATTTGTACTCATCTGAGCATTTCAAAGGAAAAATGAGGAGGCACTTACCGCCTATGATCCACTATTGCATCCTGCTTTGTACTTCTTGCATAGTCAGGGTGGTAGGATTATGTTGCAATAGTAAATAAAGACCCATTCAAACTTAATCAAATAACTAGTACAATCCGGTGTCCAGGGTACCCTCATTACACATGCTTCAACAGAAGCCTCCATTGCTGTCATTAAACAGAAAAACTGTCTGCTCTTCTGATTCTTCCAAGCAATTACATGTGTCACTTATTTCAAGGGCTTATTGATGAAGACCCCTGAAGGACAGAGAGAGGGAGAAGGCGAGAAAGGGAAGAGGGGATAAATAAGCATGTACTTGGGTTGCAGCCAACCTCATCTTTTTGAAAACAACCATAGTACCACTGTGATAGTTAATTTTGTTAGTCTACTTGGTTAGCTTAAGAAATGCCACTAGTGAGTCATGGATGTGTGTGTGTGTGTGTGTGTGTGTGTGTGTGTGTGTGTGTGTGTGTATTAGTGCAGTTCTAGATTAACCAAGTGTGGAGAAACTCATCCTGAATGTGAATGTCACCATCTTGATGGGCTGGGGTCTAGGACTGAACAAAAGTGGAAAAAGGAGCAAGCTGCCTGAACAACAACATTAACCAGAACAACCACCTACTCATAATTCTGTGATGTCAGTGAGTTAACTGTGAAAGCAAACATAGTAGTCACTAAGTTGCTATAAGGACTGAATAAATGTAGAAGACTATTACTTTGCTTTGTTTGTACATCTTAAGAAGCTAGCTAATGAATCTGAGGTGATTGTTGGGTAGTGGGTTGTTGAATGTACAGGAACTTATCTAATAACATCCTTGATTCTTGAACAATTTTCATAAGGGTTCAGTCACAGGATCAAGTCACATTCTATGCCTTACTCCTATTCCACAATGCTGAGCCTACTTAAGGAGTTAAAGTCATTAAGCCCCATCACTTATGCATTAAGTCTCATCATAATGGCCTTGTGAAGCTATCCTGTCATAAGAAGCTCAATAGTATGCCCCCTGTACCTCTTCAGTTTTTAACCCTCTACTCTGGTCTCTCATATAGAAGTTGGAGCCATGGGAAGGGTTTGTGTGTAGTAAGAGGGGAATATAATTGGAGTATGATACTAATTAAGTATGAAAATATCATAATGAAATCCCTTAATTGGATCCTGACTTATAAAGCCAATTTAAAAAAGGTGTAATTTTAAAATGTCTAGAAACCCGCACTCATGGGAATTCTATGGTAATTAACCTTAATTTCCTA